GAGAGAAATGTTTTGAGCAGGAATCGAAGTTTCTTTAGTAGAATCTGGATGTCTTAATGCTCTGATTTGTCCTGTGTGTATTAGATGTGGTGATTCACCCATTTATTCAGGAAACATTTTCTGAGTGCCAACAATATGCCAGTATGCGGTATACTGAATGAACACTTACATTTACATTTACAGGACAAGAAAGGATAAAAAACACAAGTGGTCTTTATCTGCAAGTTGTGTTTGTTCAATTAGGCATTTATGAGTTTGTATTTGTTCAATTAGGCATTTATGAGTTTGTTAGCTTGGTGAACATACAGTAGCTAAGAATAATACTTTTAAATGTTTCTTTAAAAATTCCTTGGCCCTGAGGGAGAAGATATTTAGCGTGGTAATATAAGTGGCTGGACTATTTTTAAAGCATACATTAACTTTTAAAAATATTTGGCAATTGATTTGTCTTTCAAAAATAAGATTTAAATGAGTTTCTGAAGGCCATCATAAAATTATAGAAAATTGGTAACAGTGAGACTTTAGAATAAACTTATTTCTGTGGTAAAAGATCCTCTCTTTTCTCCCTCCACTGCGCTCTTCGAAATAGAGCAGTCATTTTTACGACAATTTAAGGGAGAGAAACTTGCGGAACCTTTTCAAGCCCTAATAAATGCGTAATTAAGCAAAGTGTCTAGCTAGAGTGTTAGAAGTAGAAAGAATCTTAAAAATAATATATCTATTCAACATTCTGACCTCCAGAAAAGTTACAGATGCACTAGGGGGTCAAGTCTAATACTTACCCAAGTGTGGGCAGTTAACAGGACTAGATTTAGAATCCATATCTATTAGCTCCTAGTTCAAAGCTCTTTATTTTATAAGAAGCATTCATGTCTCTTCTACTGCATGCATGTTACCTGATGAGTATTTCAAACTTTACAAAGTATTAGTTGTGGGGAAAAGATGAATTTCACTTATTTTCTTCAAAATCATCTATTCCAATAAATGTTCTCTGCTCACAACTAGGTTATTGTAAAAAATGTTCTTCAGTGCCTCTCCATCATCTTATGCCTTTCTGTTGAAAATATGGACCTTGCTTCATCCCTTTTATCTCCAAAAACATCTTACTGGGTTAGTTACTTGTTGTGTTTATCAGAGTTTAAATTGTGAACTAAGACAATCTTTGCTCTAAATAATCTGACTTTTATTAACTCTTTTGGCAAAGGAACTCCAGAAGAGGGTAATTAATATCTAAATGTTTCCTCCCAGTGTTGACAAATTTTTTTTATTATTATTATTAAGCAACTAATGTTGGAGGAAAATACTAGAATTTCTATCCATTTAGTTTTTCATGTGTAAAGAACCTCTTTGTTCCTGGCTAACATTAAAAGAAGATCACTTTGATGTATGCATTGAAACACTTGTCAGAATTTTTAGATTTGCTTCTCTCTCTTGTTCCCCCTTCATTATCCTCAAATGGCACTGCCTGAAGGTGACTTATCTGATTTTAAAGTGTAAAATTGGAGGTTTAAAATGAATTCATCTACTTTTGGGGGAAATGTGCTATATTCGAGGTCACAGGACATTTTAACCTCTTATTTCTCTCCTTACCAAAGTAGGAACTCTTAATTTCATTTTCCTCTTAGATAAACAGCTGCATCTTCTAGGGTTTGTATAGATTTTCACCTTGGCCTGTGCATCAGAAATTGGCATTTTCCAAACCCGACTCTTTTTTTTAATATGCCATCCAGTTTGCACAATCTTCACTCTTCCTACAGTACTTTTCCTCTTCTTCATCCCATCTCAATCTCTATAAAGTATGTCCATGATTATGCACCAGGTGGTCACACTGCTTGTAGTGGGGGAGCCAGATTTTGAATACAAGAAGATTTACTCCAGAGGCCAAGTTCTAACATTGTCACCATATGAAAGTTATTTAAATTCCCTGGCCTCTGTCTTCTTGACAGTCAATTCAAGGTGAAATAATACCTACCTACCTGCTTCATTGAATTGAGTTAAATGACTTAACACTTATAGATAACTCCTAACAGTAAAAACCATAAAGATAATAGTGATGAAAATTTTGATGATGATGATGATGAAGATGAATGTTGATTTCTAATATGATTAATACATTGACTAACGAGGGCAGATCACCTCTAAGAGAAGCTTGTCTCCATCTATGAAAAGAAGGTTTTACCTTCCCAGTGGAGTCAGATTTCAGCTTGAAATGCAGTCAGGGCCTCTTGCCTTGTGGCTCTAAATTATCTGAGCTCAAGAGAATTGTTCTAAAGAAAAGGTCTGCAGAAAAACATGATTCTAAATGTCTACACAGAACCACTGCTACCTGTTTAATAGTCATTATCCATTGTACTGGGGCATGTAACACAGACTGGCAGAGCATGTGCCCTCAGTCTTTACAAGGTAGTTGAAGGAATCAAGAGATAATGAAAATGTACTAGTAGACACAGGTATGTGGGCACATCCCTTATCTTCTGTGTGAAGAAATACTTTACAATGGAGAAAAATACATGTCCTTAAATCAACTGAAACTCTTTTTGCAATACAGCTATTAGGGCTGCATTATACTTGGGAATAATGGGAATTTTGAATTACAAAGTTGACTTTCTCTCTGTAACATGAATGGGTATTTGAATGGAGTTAGAGAAATCCTAATGATAGCCTGAAAGTAGGAAGGCTGTCATTGCCTCTTATTCTTCTCCTTCAAGATAGCTCCAATGAGCAGGCCCATTGGACCTATTACAGTATCAAAGAAAAACTTTTTGTAGTAAGGGGCTTCATACTGGTGTCATTATGATACATTCTGAAATAGTAATTACTAAGACAATGGGGCTATTAGAGGCAATTCTACCTTAGAATGTGGTGATTGCTTGGGCAATCTGAGGTTTGGTTAGTTGTGCTTCAAATCATTAAATCAGGAAGCATTTTAAATAGAAAATGGACAATTGACCAGAAAAATTTAAACAATTATAAGACTTATCAGTTTATCTTTTCAATGTTCAATGTTATCATCTCTTTGTGGGAAAGTATTTATATTAATATTCAATTGTCCCTAGGAAAGATTCAAATAGGAACCTGGGACTTCTCAATAATTTTGCTTTTCCAAGAAATATTTTTGTCAAGTATTTTTGTGTATGTGTATATATTTATAAACATACATACTAGTACATGTGTATATAGTAAAATTTTGTGTGTGTATATATGTATATATTAATATACATAATATACATATGTATTAATATACATATATGTGTATATAGTAATATCTAAAAGACAAAAATAATAATTTAGTCAATCAATCCTACATTAGCTTTGGTTATCTCTGATTTTTAAAAATCACATTTATCAAATTATTAGGGTTCCCTGAAGAAGCATTTCTTGTTTGAGTAGAGATGATAGTAAAGATTATGTTGTTATTTTTACATACAGCTAGTTTCTAATTATTTTTATGGTCTCTAAAGTCTGAGAAATGGTGTTTTAATTCTCACTTTTTAAAAATTTTTAAATCACGTGACAGGTAGATTTCTGAGAGGCATTATTAAAGTCTCTCAACATGATGTTTGACTTTGTACACTTATTAATTTTTGCTTTTCATATTTGAAAAGCTGTTTTATGTTTAGGATTTTTATATCTTTGTAGATTGAACCTTTTTATCTATATTGAAAATATCTTTTAGTCCTGTTTAATATTCTTTGCCATGAATTCTATTTTACCTTATATTAATGTTTCTTTACTTCCTTCTTACCAGTCTGATACATATTTTTAAACCCACTTCTTGCAATAACTCTGTGTCATTTAGTTTTCAATATGTTTGCTGCAAGCAGGCATTCTTTTGTTTCTATTTTTCTTATTTCCTGTGATGCAGGAGTCTCTACATTATAAACAGGGAATTTTATCCATTTGAATGTATTGTGATAACTCGTGTTTGAAATCATAATTTTCTTATTTTGTTTTCATTTTTTTTCCTCCTAATGTAGTTCAAGAATCTTATTTCTAGTCCTATAGGAGTTCTAGTATCTTTAGATGATCTGTCAATATCTGTAACCTTCCCCAATTAAGATAAGAACATTAACATGTTTTTAACTTTCTTTCTACAGCCTTCCTCACTCCCCATTCTTGTTTGATCCAGGTTTAAATAATCTGGGATCTCATTCAGTGCTATTATATTTTTACGTTGTACATCAATTATAGTTTTCTGTGTTTAATCTGTTACTTTATTCATCACTATTTTTCATAGTCAATTTTCTTTTCCTTAGAGTCATGTTTTGTTTTGCCAGGGTACAAACCTATGCCACTTTCAAGAAAAAGACTAGGTTAGGTAGGCATAAAATTAAAGATTCAAAAACAGTTTCCATCTGAATTTTGAATATATTCTTCCATTACATTCAGGGCTCTTGAAGAAAGAAATCCTATTAAATTGATTATCTTTCTCTTCTTTTTAAGTCACTTGTCTGCTCTGCCTAGAAGCCTGTACGAGTTCATATTTATCCTTGCTTTCCGAAATATCCACATAATATGTGAGTCAAGTCTCTTCAGTCACTCTTCCTGGCACTCACAGGATCCTTTTCACCCAAAGACTTAGGACTCCTAAGCTATGATATAGTAATTAAATTATTTACTTTATATCTATTACATATATATATATATATATATATATATATATATATATATATATATAATCCAGTAAAACAGGTGCTGGAGCCCTAACCGGTTTGGCTCAGTGGATAGAGCATCAGTTTGTGGACTGAAAGGTCCCAGGTTCGATTCCTGTCAAGGGCATGTGCCTTGGTTGTGGGTGCATCGCTGGTGGGGGGTGTGCAGGAGGCAGCTGATCGATGATTCTCTCTCATTGATGTTTCTAGCTCTCTATCCCTCTTTCTTCCTCTCTGTAAAAAATGAATAAAATTATATATATATATATATATATATATATATATATATATATATATATATACACACACACACACACACACACACACACACACACACACTACTCTGTTGTGCTTGCTTTGGCAGCACACATACTAACATTGGAAAAATAAAGAAGATTAGCATGGGCCCTGGGTAAGGATGACACACAAATTCTTGAAGCATTCTATATATTTTTTTAAAAACCATCCTCATTGTTCTCTTACCACAAATATTTTAAAACCCAGAATATTAGTCACTGATTGTTCCTTAATTGGTTCTTCTGACCTATTTCTTAGCTTTGATCTCAGAAAATGCGGAACTGTTTCATATCCATCATACTTAGGAAAATTGTTCTGCAAGAATGTATATCTTTACAAGTAACTTTCTTTTAACGTATTTGTACCAGAACCATATAATTTTCTAAGACTAATATTCTTTCAAAAATATGATAGATCATAAATGTATGATTGCTCTGAAGGTATTAAATAAGTCTGGCATTTAGCTATCTCTATTATTAAAAAAAGCAAAAACAAAAAAAACCTTGGCCGTGACGCTGCCACACCATAACGACCAAAAGCCTGGTCACCAAGAGACTGTGCGCGGGTGGGCGGGGTTGTGTGCATGGCAAGGCACCCGCGGGAGGGTGGGGACTTGACTCTGGGTCTTGCCTCCCACCAGGCGCGGTGGGCATCAGCCTGAGTTCTGCCCGCAAAGCGGGTCTGGGTCTCACACAGTATCGCGCACTGGGTCTCTAGTTGTAAATACTTTCACAGAATAGAAAATGTGAATATTCTGAAATATGACACACAGAGATTGATTTGCATGAAACACACACATTCACAGGTTAGAACACCACCTGAAAAGCAAATGAAGAGATAAATTGTTCAGCATTACTTGCCCATTACAGACTCATCAATCCCCAATATGTGGTTTTAAGTGTAATTTGTAATGCGAAGTGAGGGATCTCTCTGTGATATGTTCAGGAAATATTTATTAAGGACCTGTGATGAACCAAGTGCTTCAGATACTTTATCTCACGAGGAATTTAAAGCTAAAATGCTTTTGCCATAAAAGAACTTATATATATGCAAGATCACGATAATTATTATTTCTTCAACGGTCATATGGGGCAGGTGACATAGCTATATCACATAAAATTCTCACATAAATCATATAATGTGAATATTATTAACCTCAAGAGAACATTAAAATTCAGAAAGACTATGCAACCTGTCAAAGACCACATAGTCAGAATGCTACCCTGAGTCTGTCTAACTCCAGAACTTGTGTTTTTTGCTACTGAACAGCACTTTCTTCACATTCTGCTCTTCTAATAACAAGACAGACAACAAACGTGTAAGCCGCTTAGTTTCTAGTGTCTCTGTTTTCTTACATGCACATGTGGAAGTTGGTTTGAATAGTTTCTCGGGTTTTGGACATTTGCCACATTAACTGTTGTTTTACCAACACATGGCACTGTTGTATAGTTATGATTTATACTTGTTGGTTTCCTGTAGTTATTTACCTGGGGCTGTTCTATGAACGGTGGTCTACTCCCTGCAGAATAGGGATTTTTTTCAACTTGGAAGAAATAGATACTCTTCAAAGACAGACTGAAGGCTTACTTTGCCATTCTGAGAAGGATATTGATTGATTAAAACCCTTGAGAAAAATTTAATTCTAAAAGACCCCACCATATGAGAGATTTGGGGGTATTTTTCCTTCCTATTAATACAGTATCTGTCATGGGGCCCTCAGGTGACAAGTGCATGGTAATACTATTCAAAATATCCTCAGAGAATATACATTTACTAGTAAACCTAAAGGATCAGAGAGCAAGTAAGAACCAGCAGGAGAAAGTTCTTCATTCTACAAAGCCAAGTGACAAAATCACCTGAGGGCAAATGGCATAGAAAGGACCAGGACTGCAGTCACACTTCCCATTGAGCTCACCCCAGTAATTCTCAGGTTGGTTTCTGATTAAGAGAATTAAAGAGTTACAAGTGACTCTTTTTTTAGTTTCTATAATACTCTTCCTTCAAAAGAATCATGATGCATAAAATTCACATTTAAGGATGAAATCACCTGTCTCTTATCTTTGGAAGATGTGAGATCATTACTTAACCCTTACCAAAAAAGCAAGTAGTTCTTGAAATATTTTCCAAAGAACACTTGGAGGCTTTTTGACTGATGCCGCACTGTGGTATTTTCCTCACCACCAACCTCTATGGAGAAGATTTGCCTCTTATCTGTTTTTACATGTATGTTTCCTTTCTCTTTCCTCCTTCTTCATACACAGATATGACTTTCATTTCTTTAAACAGCCAGTGTCCTTGAAACTGCAGTTAAGAGTTTACTTTTACGGTGCTTCCTTCAGTCCACCAGTTAGTAGTTTTTCTGTTGTTTTTTAATGCCAAGCAAAATTCAAAGAGGACCCAATGACCGCATCTTGCCCAATCTATTTTTCTATCTACCTTATTTCTGGAGTGATCTAGTTAACATTAAATTAATAAATGGTAGGAATGATGAAGTAATAAGACCATGATAAAAAATGTATGATGTCATATCTGCTAGAAACTCAAAATTTGAATAACTAGAAATTGGAAGCTAATGATCAGTAATTGTTGAAATATTCCAAGGAGTTATCAGGTCCTTTTTTCCTTTATGTTGGACACATATGAAACTTTTTTTTTCTTCAAAAGGAGGATACCCTTGTGGTAAGGAGAGACTAAGGTACCTGAATGAGAAAGACACTAGAAAGTCAGTGAGAGATAGGAGTGGCTAGTCCTGATACCCTGTTGCCCATGAGGACAGACCATCCCTAGAAGAGAAAAGGTAATATGGACTTGAGAAATCAATTTGGCTTAAATATAACTTGTCTTCAGTCATTATTTATGAATGTAGTTATTTCATTGGTACTGGTGTTTGTTGGTGCTTGTTGTGTTTTTGTATTTTTGTTTGTGAGCAGAGGAGGCGTTAGCAAGCAGTGTTTCAGAACCTGCCCGAAGATAAGGCTCACTAAGACCACTGTGCAAATGCAGATTATCAGAATTGTTTCTACTCTTCATTATACCTGAGGTCAAGCTTGGGAATGTGTATTTTTACCAAGTGTTTCTGTTCTTTTTCAATACTGGACAACACTATGGGAAAATGTCTACTTGCTTAATTATGTGCTGATTGTTGTGTTCAAAATACGGTTTTGTAGTGATGTTCTTTGTGGCTTCCTACTATTGGGGGTCACACCCCTATTTTGGGAGGCTTCAAACTGTATTTAGACAGAGCTCATTGATTGTGGGGTGGACCGACTATGAATATCCTCAACCAGATATTAGATGAAGTGATTGACCTCTGTAGGAAAGACAATCAGACTTGAGTAGACTCTGTAAAAGAAATATCATTTGTCCTTTATGCTTTGTCCTTGTCTCTTATTAAAAACTTGTCCTTTAATCTTAAAAGTTGTTGAAGGAATTCTGATTTGCCAGAGGTGAACTTTGCATTTCTTATTTCTCATTCCCTTATCCTTATGTTCAGCCCTTTCACTAATGATGCCCTCTGTTTTGTAAATTATCTTTGCAGTTTCTGTGTTCAGTACACAGCATAGAGCAAATGCACTCTATTACCTAGTTTATGTTTAGTACCAATTTGAAGTGATATTTTAAATGTACATGACATTCATCAGTTTTCATTATTTACTAAGATAATGTTCTCAATTTCCCCTACTTAGTTTTCATTTTCTAACACTTGAAAAAATAACGTTAATAACTGACCAACAAGTTTCTGATTCAGCTTCTTTTTCTCTCAAAACATTTTTCTGAGATTTGCTAGTTCTGTTGCTCATCAGAAAGATACACACAAAAATTGCCTCTGTGTCTGTGGATATTATAAATCTAAGTAGTTGTCCATGAAAGCTTAGTGTACTTGGCTGTCTAATTTATTAATTTGAGCTAGGGATGAGAAAGTATAAAAGAGAAAAATGTGCCTGTCTTTCCAAGATGATCTACAGAGATGAAATGCAAAAAATAAGAGGTAGGTTAGATCTAAATTGATCGAAAAGATATAGGTGATATCTAAATCTTTTTAAATCTTTCACACAGAGAATATTCTCCACTTAACGATTTTATGTGGCTGAGTTAAATATGACATATGTTTGGTTGGTTTTTTTTTTAATATAAATGAATGTTAGTTTCATCAGAATAGAAGGGGAGAACTTCTGAAGAACCATTATTAAATACAGTAAATATTGTTATGGTTCATACATTTCTGCTTTGACATATTTTTGTTTCAGTGTCATAAAATTGGGGATTAATTTCAGGCTTATCATTTTATGTTTCTTTTTATCGAACTTATTTTGGTGGAAAAAATATATATAGTTTTTTAGTACAGTTCTATAATACATCACTTGCATATTGTACTTGTGCACCACTGTGCATTCATCCCAAAGTCAAAGTCACCATCCAAAGTCAACTCTCTTTCCATCACCATTTAGCCCCCCTTTATCCTCTTCTACCTCCGCCTATAGCCCTCTCCTCTTATAATCACCACACTGTTGTCTGTCTATGAGGATTTAACCACAGCTGAACGAGTGGAGACAGCTGGGACTTGACATGTATAAACTATGTTGAGAGAGCAAACCTAGTAAACACACTGTGTCAATGTGACCATCTTAAATCTCTCTAGTGAAGAGATGTGGACTGAGGCAAACCACATGTTTTCTGGCAAAGAAACTATGAGGTGACAGCCAGTACTTTCTAAGGGTTCCTGACAAAGAAATACTGATTTGGAAATTAGGAATATTCTACCCCAGTTAAAGGGGCTCTGAAAATCAAGGGAGGGCCCACGCTGCCCAGTGTGGGCCCTCCCTTGATGTTTACAGCCCATTTTGTGTGTGTGATCACGTTAGAACTCAGTGTCTTTGTTTCAAAAAGTGAGAATCTGCGTTAAATGCTCTGCAGGATCCTTCCAAGTGACTGAATTTCTAGACTAATTCTTATGTTTTCCTCACACCTGCTTTGGGTTTTAACATATCTGTTATTGGAGATGCTTAAATTGATGACCAGCTGAGTTCCTTTTAGCACTGCCTCGTATCAAGGTTTCTAACCCACTTAATAAAAAATATTTTAAAGCTGGCATAGAAAACTGCTAGCTTTAAAGGCGCCTGGTCTATTTTTTCCATAACCGAAAAATAAACTGTAAT